CCATTAAACCATCTTTCCAAGCAGTCTCCATGTTTCCAGTGTCTTTTTCTCCACTTGGAGCTGAACCCAGAAGGATATTTCTTCCAACAGATCGGTCAGATTTTTGCTGTTGTACCAGCTTCTCTACTGCATAGCAACCTTTCTGCCTGAGATGCTTGTTTGCATTGCTGCGTTAGCTCCCCCAGATGATGGTTCTGGAAGATGTCAATCTGCCTTCTCTGGACACTGGGTCAGATACAGCTCAGGAGTTCATGTCTACCATGACAGCCAAGAGCCCAGCCAAGTTATCCAGACCTCAGCACAGAACAGTGATCACACACCTGATCTGTTTTCCTGGCAAATCAATGACAGCGTGATCTGGAATTGAGGAATGTCTTGTGTCCGCCTTGTCCTGGTCAGATCATGTCCTGATTACCATGGATTCTCTAGCACCACTTTCCACCACAGGAAGGCAGGACCTATTAGATTGGTCTTCCCTGATGGGTTTTAGAGGGAATTGGGGACTGTTCCAGCTGCTCTGTTGCACACTCCATCTGAGATCTTGACAAGAAGTAAATGAGGCTTTGGATTGGATCGCGCCTATGTGACCTCCCCTGTCTCATGGATCCCATCCCTCTTCATGTACACAGAAGTACTGCGGGAGATGAAACAGGAGAAGAGACATCTAGAATGTTGCTGAGGTTCAGTGTGGGACAAACTCAGCTAAACACTGGTTAGAGCCACTATTAAGGCCTACCTCATGGCAATGAGGGAAGTGAAGTCACAATACTTGTCCACCCCTACTGCATCTGTAGATCAATGGTGGGTTGCCCCTGGTTCGGACCAGTTTGCAAGAACCGGTAGTAAAGCCGGTGGGAGGCTCTGCCCACCGACCTGGACATCATCAGGAAGTTTCTGCACATGCACAGAAGCGCGTGGGTGCAGTCCCATTGCAAACCGGTAGTAAAGGTAAGTAGAACCCACTCCTGCTGTAGATAGTCATTTTACTGCCCTATTTTGAATAATTTGTGCCCTCTTAATAAGGGTGCCTCAGAAACTCTTCTGAAGACTCATGCAGAAGAATTTGCTATGCATTTGTTGGTCAAAATGGCCACAATTCATTCACAGTTGGATGCTGGCCATGTTGTAGTTCCCAGGGTAGAGTTTTGCCCTCTTATGTGGAAATGAACCTATTGGGCCTAAGGGAGTAGACAGGGTGCTCTTTAGATCCACGCTCCTCCTGGCTAATTAAAGTTGTATGGGAAGCGAGGAATGTCATGTGAGTTGGTTCTAAGAATGGTGAATTCTTCCTTGGGTGAGGGGGTTCATTCCTTTGCCTTTCAAAGAAGTGTTGGTTTGCACTTTCCTCAAAAAAATGTCACCAGGCCCACCAGACTGGACAATTTTCATCCAAGTATCTACCCTCCCCTTTTTAGACAAGATGGCAGAGTAGATGCAACAGTTTCAGAGGTTCTGGGATGAAGTGGATTATTTGGACCCCTTTCACTCAGGTTTCAGGCTTCGGTATTGGATGGAATCAGTATTGGTTGTGCGTTTTATTGGTATTGGGAAAAGCGCAACGAAGATTGTGCATCCATCCTAGCTCTGTTTGACCTTTCATTGGCCTTTGATACAATCAATCATGATTTTCTTTTGGACCAATTCTGAGGATTGGTATGTGCGTGTGTGTGTGTCAGAGAGAGAGGGAGGGAGGGAGGGAGGGAGGGAGGGAGGGAGGGAGAGAGAGAGAGAGAGAGAGAGAGAGAGAGAGAGAGAGAGAGAGAGTGGGGTGTCTTATGGAGTGTCCCCATTGCTTGTAATCTAATGCTCCCTCTTTGCTTTTTTATAGCAATATTAATTTTTGTATTTCCTGAATGTTTTTAAAATTGTTTTTTGTTTGTTTCTATGCATCCAGTCATATCACCAGAAATGGGTGACCATACTCATATGATAAATAAATAAATACATAAATAAATAGTCTTCTGCACATTTTTAGTTTATAGGGAAGAGAATCCCTTGAAGATCTCTCAGAACAGGCACTGAGGCCTCTTATCAGCAGTCTATGTTGCAGCATTTGGGAACATGTGAGCACCAGCTGAACAAAGCCATTGATCCATATTAACAGTAAATGAAATGAATCCATAATTACTGTAAATCATTTTTATTTACCAGGTGTCATAAATATAACCCACGTGGATAAGAGGAGAAAAAGAAATTATAGAATTTTTGGCCATCCCTGAAGTGCCTTCTCTTCTCTTCTCTTCTCTTCTCTTCTCTTCTCTTCTCTTCTCTCTCTTCTCTTCTCTTCTCTTCTCTTCTCTTCTTTCTCTTCTCTTCTCTTCTCTTCTCTTCTCTTCTCTTCTCTCTCCTCTCCTCTCCTCTCTCTCCTCTTCTCTCCCTCCACCCCACCCCACCCTACTCCACTACCTTCTTTTGGTTCACCAAAACCTATCCTTTTCTACTCCTGCCACCTGCTCTCTTGATCACAAAATGCGCCTCACTTTTCCCACAAGCATCCACTAGATGTCTCTGCTGTGTAGAGATGCAAATTTAAAATAATAAAGGTTTGGTGAATAAATGGGGTGATTCAAGCAGATGGAGGCCGGAGGTAGGATAAAGTTTTGATAATATATTTGTAAATAAATATTTATTTTTAAATCCACTCTCTGTGTCTTATATTTTAACCCTGGGGTTAGGTGAACCCTCTGGAGTCAGGGTCTGGTTATAGATAATGCTATTGCATCATTGGTAAAAATTGCAGTTTATTGTAAATTTGGGAGCTATTCAAAAAAAATAAAAAATAATAAAAAATCACAGGCTGAGTTTAAAAAAAAATCCCTGCATTTCAAAAAGCTTCTTTTTCATGAAAAAGTTTTGAAAAAACATTGTGCTAACTAACGCAATTCTGTTCTTTTCAGTGGAACATCATGTGAAACTCACAATAACCCACTATTATGAGTTAGGAACAATGCTATGCGACACAAGTTGTTCAATGCAACAGCCTTAAATCAAAGAAAAATTTCCCCGTAGTCTTGATTTTTGGAAAATGAAATGAAATAATATGAAGAGATACACTGCACGCTGACAGCTTTTCCTCACCTGAATCTCCCCATGGCAAAATACCATGCCCTACCAACAGTATTTTTCTGCTGGATCTGGATGACATTACTTTTACCTTGAATGAGACAGATTTATGTCAACTTTAGCAGTACAGGTGTTAAGGTTGCATTCTTCCTCCCCTCCCCACCTCTGACACCTTCTAAGGGCAGCCTCAAGGTGTTAGATTGGATCATCCATTGCCTTGGAGAGAAGTCAGGTGATTGTATGACTGGGAATTCAAACAGGATGAGATGTGGGGAAGGTTTTCCTGCCAGCTCAACAAACAAGAGGAAAAGCCCCAGCCTCCTTCCAGTTACAGATAGAAATGACCCAAGGATTACCAAGGGGTACTGGGTACATCTATGCATAGCAACCTCATCAGATGCATAGTGGAGGCTAAATAGACATCTCTTTCAGTTACTTTGATTTGGATTATTACACAGAGCAGGCAAGTGCTGAAACTGTTCCCTTCCACCTCTATGCTTCTACGGTTATTCCCTGTTAGGTTATAGTTAGAAGCTGCTGAATGCATATATGAAAACAAATGGAAACTGTGAAGCCTGAAATCTAAGCGACCTCAATGCCAGAACTCTAAGAAGTCTGTGAGATTTTCCCCAGAAGTGAAGCAGGATAAACATCTTGCATGATAGGCTGTTCATATAGGTACTGATTGCATTTAACAGTGTAATACAGCTACCAGGTGTATTAACCAGCCTACCTGGGAATGATAGAGACTGGAATCTAAAAAATATGGATGATATCAGGTAGGCAAAGCAAAGTCTATAAGCTATTCATGATCCCCTCATTGATTTGGCTTTCATTTATAGGCTCTGAGTGGCCATTTAGTGTAGTGGTTAAAGCATCAGGTAAGAAACCCCCGGCGGAGACTAGGAATTCTAGTTCCACCTTAGTCAGGAAGCCAGCTTGGTGACCTTGGACCAGTCACTTTCTCTCAACTCTAGGAAACCCCTCCTGAAAACCCTTAAGAAAAACACAGAAGTTAAGAAAACTAGACAGTCTCAGCAGAAGAAAAAAAAGTAGGCTTTATAAAGGCTCAGCTGAACTACTCTATTATTGGCATTTGAGCCTCAGCACAGTGGTTAGAGTGCAGTACTGCAGGCTACTTCTGCTGACTACCGGCTGCCTGCAATTTGGCAGTTCAAATCCCACCAGGCTCAAGGTTGCCTTCCATCCTTCTGAGGTGGGTAAAATGAGGACCCAAATTGTTGAGAGCAATATACTGACTCTGTAAAACCGCTTAGAGAGGGCTGTAAAACACTGCGGAGTGATATATAAATCTAAGTCCTATTGCTAAATGCTATTTCTCCCTAGCCTAGCTTTTGAATGACATTTGTGCCCTTATAAAACCAAATGAATTTGGAGAGGGCTTTCTCTCTGTACTAGAAAGCTGGGAAAAAAATCATTGAATGAAAAAGTTTAGGCCCAGAGCCTTGGAGTCTCCGGCCAGGTTTCCACCCCGCTGCCCACCTCCACGCCCGCCCAAACTGGAGCTCTCCTTTTGGCCTGGGTGGACCGGACCCGGCGGGCTTCCCCCCCCCCCCAATCCCCCGTCCCTCAGCCGAGATTCGCGCGCTTGTTGGCTCAGAAGCGTTGGAGCAGAAGCGCCGCCGGAGCCGTCCGGGCCTTGCCAGGCCAGGCCAGGCGCTGCCTGTTTGCAAAGAGTTAAGGAGGCGGAAAAACGCGTCGGCCACGGCCGCCTCTCTCCATAGAAACGGCGATCTTTAACGGGGGAAACTTTATTAAAGTCTGATGGGCCGATAAGCGCCCGCGCCGCGCCTTTAATTAAAGCGCAGAGGAAATTGCAGGCGCGCGCCCCTCGCGCGTTGCCAGGCTACTGCTGCCCCCCCTCCCCCCGGCCGCCCCATCTCGCCCCTCCTCTCCGCCCCCCTCCTCCCCGAACCTGCGCTCGGCCTCGGCGGGTGGCGGCAATGGCAATACATAATAATAACAACCGCAGCCGCAGCCACCCTCTTCCCGGGCGAAGGCCATAATACCCCCCGCGGCCGCGGGGTGCGCGCAGAGCTGCCATGAGACGCGGCGCGGCCCGGACCCTGCTGCTCAACATGTACCTGCCAGGTAGGGCAGAAGCGGGCTCGGCCGCCCAGCCGCTCGAAAGTCCTCCCGGGCCCGGCTGCTTTCTGCCTGGGGTGGTGGTGGTGACTGGGGGAATCGGGCCGTTGCCTCCCCCTCGCTTGTCTCTTTGCTACCCAGGAGGCGCTGGGAGGCGCGCGGGAAAGCCGGCTCGGCCTTCCCTCTTTAAAGCGGCCCCGACGGCTCCCGTCGGAAGTCGGATTTCCTTTTTCCTGGACGCGTTTCCTGGCTTCATAGCGGCTTGGCGGGGAGGCGGGGGAGCGGCAGAGGCGGGCGGGCCGCGGGGGACGAGGAAGAAGGCGAGGCTCCTTCGGGGAACGGGCTTTTTTTTTTTTTTGGTGTTTTCTTTCTTTTTTGCTCCCGCCAAAGGATGAGCTGACCGAAGCTGTCAGGGATAATCGGCTCCGATTTGGGGTTTTTTTGTGCACCTCAGCTACCCGCCTCCCCCCCCTTCCTCTTTTCCTGCAGATCCGGTTGGGGAAACTTTATTCAAAGAAGGCAAAAACCAGACGTGGGGCTCGCTGGGGCCAGGGGTTCAGAAAGGTAAGCTCGGGTTGGGTTGGGTTTTGTTGTTTTTTTCCCCCACGTTTGTTACAGAAGTGATCCGGAGCAGGGCGGAAATGAAGCTTTTAAGGATCTGGCGACCCCACGGGCTTGTCCCAAACGGCTTCATTTTAAGGGTAGATGCCCGCTTTCAGCGATGGGTCTTGGTTGTCCCGTCGGTTCGGCTTCCCACTTCGCAGGGGTGAAGGGAGAGAGGGAGCATAGCTTCTCAGTGGTGAAAGAGGCGCATTGGGCAGCTTTCTTTCCCTGCTCCGCGCAGGCAGTTTATTTCACTTTTTGGTGGCCTCGAAGCCAACGGAAGGGGCATGGAAATGCGAAGGGACCAGCGGCACCGATCGCGAAGGGTAACTAAGCCAAAATGCGCCAAAGGCGAAGGCTGATCCGGGAGGGAGACGGTCTGATTTTTACCAAGAGAGGCGTTGGATCTAGAACGAGTTCCATGTCCTCGGTTAGCTATTCCCGATGCGAAAGCCCAATGAGTTGGAACTATCTGACTTCTAACATCCTCCTCGTAAGGCTGGCTTTTATTTATTTTAAGGTAAGATGAGCTCCAAAAGCCCCTTCGATTCAGAGGTTTGAGCCATTTAACCCTAACCTGAATGCCCAAGTTATTGAATTAACTCACTTTCTGATTTCACACAATACACGTTTAGTAACCCAATGGCCTGTTTTCTTAACATAAACTAATCAGATTGAACGCTAAGTCAAGTTTAGCGTGCTTTTTCCGGCAGCCGCGAAGTCTCTAACTGGTCGGGTAAGTGTCTTGTGCCCTTTGGCAAGCGGACTGTCAGGGTCTGTCTTAATCCTCCCTTTAGATGCCGATGCTTGAACCTGATAAGATTTTTTCCGGTCACCCCTCGCCTTTGAAGGAGGATGTGATTCTTTTGAATCACTCCTTTATCGCTAGGTATAGTTTATCGATGTAGATAGTTTGACCACTGGAGTCAAGTGATCCAATAAATGGAACTAAGAAGCAAACCAAGCTTGTGGACAAAATCTTGGGATTCTTTTGTTAACTGATTAATTTTACCGTTTTAAATGAGAATATCGATCTATCGGGTTGTCTTAAATTCGGAACCATACTTTGGATCCTCCTTCTCTAAAACGCCTTTTACTAAAGATCGGCGCACCCAAGTTTTGGCTCCAAAGAGCTGCTTTGGAAAGAAGCTGTCTCTGTTGGAAGGGAAACTGCTTCCACTCGGCTCAAAAGCCCATCACTTGGTATCCTTCGCTTCTCGATAACTCTTTGGATGCAGAAAACGCGCATTCATCTCCCATCCTGTACTGAACGAAGCTTGTGCTGCGGCGCTCACAGTGGCCAGCACTGAAGCCGGGCATCGTCAAGAGGGAAAACCCGCCCGCTCATTTTATGCCTTTTGGATCGGAGGTGAAACCGAAAGAGCACACGACTCTTTAAAGGCCGAGGCCACTTGGATGGTGCCGAGCCGGTGAACGCTTGCAAGGGGCTCTTGTCTCCCTTTTCCCTTAAGCTCCAATTTTTAGGAGAGCTTTGCAAAACTGCCCCCCCCCCCGTTCCCAGGTCCGTAATCTTGTTTGCAAGTGGTGCAAAAAGGTGTTTGGACAAATTTGACTTGTGGGTGTGTGTGTATGTGTGTGTTGGCTGATTGGTCAACTTATTTTCCAAGAACAAAAGGTGCTCCCCTTCATTATAGGAACCCGTCTTTCTTCCGTTCCCCTTCCTTCCTACATTATATTTGGAGGCTTCTCCTCCCCTACCTACTTAAGGAAGGGTGTAGGGCACCCCACCCACCTACCATGCACATCCTTTGCCTAAAGCGGTAGATACAGCCAAGGTGGAAAACATTTCTAACCCATTCTGATTGGGTGAAATCAGCTGAATTTTAAATACTCCCAGAAATAATATGCCTAGTTCAATGAATTGTGAATGCCGTGTGGGACTGAAACACAAAAGCAATCTGGAATTAGGAGAAATAATTTTTAAAAAGTAGCTTTGAATATTGCAATGGAAGGATGATTATTTCAAAAAGTCACAGCAACACGGATATGGCTGTTCCTTTGAAGAGATGTTTTATCCAGCGGAACATCAAATTAACTTGACTTTATTTGTTCCTCTATCACACACACATTTGACGCAAAGCAAACGAACAATCTCATCTAATCGAGGCAGAGCACTTAATGCAGATGTACTTTCAGCTTTCGTTTTATTTTTTAATATAGTCCTTGGAAATTTGCGCCACAGTAACTCTGACGACCTTTCAAAAGGATGTCTTCCTGCAAGAGGGGAAAACACCTCTCTTTTTCTCTGAAAACGACGTCAGTTTGGGGAGATCGCATTGCTTAAAAATAAAGGTATAAAAACTCCCGGGTTCCCAGAACCACGTCTTCTGATTAATGTGATATCCTCCTTAACGGGAGTTTCTGATTCAACGCACTAGGGCTTAAAACAGACAATTCACTCGGAAATATAAATTCCCTTAAAGGGATTGGGAAAACCAGCTTCTTTTGGAACGGCCCTCCTTTCTGGAGTGCTAAATGCCCTTTTTAACACCTTTACCTAAGAGCGGGGATGTACCCAACGAAGATTCTTGCGGCTTCTTAAAGACGCCACGTTTAGTATCTACTCTCGCTCACATTTCTCATAAGGGGGAATACAGTCCGGAGAGGGCAACATTATGCATGTGGGGTGGGGGAAGGAAAGGAAGAGGAAAATAATGGGAAAAAGATTGCCGAGAGAGTCATCTGCAACTGGGTGTGACCCAGACATCGAACGGCTAATTGGATTGAAGATAAGAAACCGGGGTCTACAGTTGGAAAGGGAGTCTTTACTTCCCTGCGTCCGTCCGTCCGACGTTCTGTGATCCACGAATGTTCCAGCAAAGATACCAGGGGCGAATTTTAAGGTACCCCCCCACCAGACTTTCTAAGGCTGTGCCGGGTTTCCTTCCGACGAGGCCAGAATCTCAAGAAATAGCCCTGCAAAAATATGGAAGGGCATCCAAAGCTCCTCTTCTTCCCACGTATCGCGGGTTTGTTACTGAATCGCAGAGCAAATGCTCCCAGATCAAGCGCCGGCGTAGGAACCAGACTAACACCAGCAACCCCCCTCTTGGACGGCGGTGCTCTCCGCCGTTCCTCATCCCTGAGCGAAATTGCTCCCCGAGCCTTCAGCAACAACAAGCGCATCTTCAAGCACATCTTCAAGCGTCAGCATCCGAAGAAGCAGCCGCGGAGAAACGGCTCCTTTCACGGGGCCCTGCTTCGAACGCGTCTTTTTTTCTCATTTGTAAATATTACAAATATTGTAACTATTTTATACGCATTTCAAAAATCGGCCAAAACGATCTCCCTAAACCGCGAAAGCAAAGGTTAGAAGAGGAAGGTCAGCGGCCCCAAGGCAGGTCTGCTCGTGTCGTCTAGGAAAGGCTCCGTGTGTGAACGGGCCAGCCTCTCTCTCTCTCTCTCTCTCTCTCTCTCTGGCCGAGGAAGAAGCCCTCCAGCTTCCAGCGGGAAGGATTCCCACGCATCCAGCTAGTTTGGGATTTGATTTTATTTTATTTTGCTTCGGAAAGTGAGCAGGAAGGAAGTGACATGCGACTGCTGGGAGAAGGTTTGAAATTTACTTTTGTTTTCCTGGCTCCTCCAGAGACAAGGTCTGGCGCCTTGGCTGATTCTCAAGAATCCTTTGGTCCCGAAGATCTGGAAGAGAGACAAGGAAGAGCCAGGCTAGAATTTACCGCCAATATTCCGACAGAAGCTCACAATAGGATGGGAAAGGAATCTATTCTCTGAGTAATGTTCTGGCTTCCCCCACCCTGCCACCTTTCCTTTCCTTCTTGAACTAGCTGGACCACGAACCACTGAATCGGGCAGGTTGCTCAGTCCTCCAAGATCTGGCCAGCATTGCCTGGATTTGGCCTGATTCTAGGCCCAGGATTCCTTTGGCTGCATCTGGTTTATTGTTCTTCCTCTTTTAAGTGGGAAAAGAGGAAGCACACAGCACCCTTGAGTGTAAAATACAGTAGTGGCCAAAATTGTGGAAACCTTTTGGGAAAAGTGTATTTTTGAGGTTTGATGGCTAATAACACCACTTTTTTTTTTTTTGGAGTTTCAAGATAATCATATTCCACTGCTGGAATGGCCTGGGAATAGCCCAGACCTTAACCCAACTGAAAATCTATGGAGAAACTTGTTAGTGAGAAGTGACCCAGCAATAAAACCCAGTTAATAGAAGCAATCATTCAATCTTGGTTTCACATTATAACAGCAGAACTAAAAGACTTGGTTCACTCCATGGGAAGACGTCGTAGGGCCGTAATTCATGCTAAGGGTTACCCAACTAAGAATTAACTGACTTTTTGTATATTTCATTTTTTTCTAAGTGTTTCACTTTTCTTCTTTATACTGTAACTGCAAATCCTTCGTAAAAGTTATTGCATTACGTTCTTGATTAAATTATCTTTCCATTGATATATAATTTTATGGTACTACTAAAAAAAAAGTGGTGGAATTAGCTAGTTTTAGAAAATACACTTTTCCCAAAAGGTTTCCACAATTTTGGCCACTACTGTATGTGTGGACTCCCAAACGCACCTTCGGCTAAGGAAACCAGCCCAAATGTTTCAACCCCTGAACCTCTTTTAGGCTTCAGGACCAGCGAGTGCCACCGACTGGCTTCTGAGAAGACTTGGGTGGGACCCAACTCTTTATTTTACTGTATTTTTTAAAAAAACGAAATCGAAGTTGGAGTTTATATCGCTTCTAAATATGAAGGATGCCTAAAGGAAAGCAGAACAGAGGCAACACAGTTTTATAAAAGCAAAACCGTAGGGTTTGTTTTAACCGAAATGATGATTCAACCCAGAACAAGCTAAGACTTCAACCAGCATTGAGAGAAGGAGGACCTTCCAGGGCTGCTTGCTGCAGTCCTTCCAGACCTGGGGGCTGGGGCTGGGGCTGTGGCAACTGTTCCACACCAGCATTTTCCCCAAAGAGCAGCA